CAAAAGGAGGAGAAATTATGATCATGCATGGTAGAATGTAATTTGACAAATTGATACCATCATGATGTGAAATATCTATGACACAAAATGATGCATGCAGTACTTATGATTTCACTATGATGATGTATATGATGTATTGCATATGATGTGAATCAGATTAAAATTACGTTGACTTAAATTCAAGATTTATCTCAATTATGGCATATTACAATAAGAATGACACTTTATCTTTCTCATAATTTAAAAATTGATGAATTGCATCATTGTATTATTATTCCCCTCTTTTTGCCAATGACAAAGGGGGAGAAAGAATTGCTGGTGTGCATATCTCAAAAGAGAAAGATTTGCTAGCTTGCACAATTCAAGAAGATGCAAAAACATGCCAGCTTGCTCATCTCAAAAGAGGAACAAAGATTGCTAACTTACTTATTTCAAGAAGCAAAAGTTGCTTTCTTGAACATCTCAAATATTGCTAGCTTACATTTTCTAAAATAATGTAAAAAAAAATTATGCTAACTTGCATGATGAAAAACTTGTTAGAATTGCTAGTTTGAACATTACAAAAGATGCAAAAATAGAAAAAAGAACGATGTTATCTTATGAATTTTGCTAAGTTACATATTTCAAGAAAATGCAAAAATGATGCTATCTTGTACATTTCAAAAACTTGCTAGTTTAAACATAGTAAGGAAAAACAAATATGCTAACTTGCACATCTTTAAATTTGCTGGCTTATATGTTGTAAAACTTGCACATCTCTAAAAACTGATAGTTACACTTCTCCTTTTTGTTGATGACAAAGGGTGAGAAATTATGATGATAATCATGCATGCAATGATGTATTTAGATATTTTGATTATGCATGATTTTATTATACATGCAATGATGTGATAAATTAGTTATTTCAATATGCATGTTATATGAAATATTGAAATACTATTATTTCAAAGTTTCTATCAATATGGCATATTGATAGGGGGAGTTTGTTTAAACTCCGGGAGTTAAGGTTAACTCCATCAATCAATTGGTTGTCATCATAAAAAAGGAAGAGATTGTTGAATCTTGGATTTTGATGATGAAACCAATTGATAGTGTTTATGATTTGATTTACGTTTTGAGTGACGTAGGAAGCTTCGATTAGGGAAAGACAATTAAAGTAGGAAGAATCATGTTGAGCCGAAGAAACACATGTTAGAAGATTGGACGTCGAGCCGAAGGATCAGTTGACATATCGATAGAAGGCTTCGGGCCATGGGTTCGGGCATCAGGCCAAGAAGAGAGAAAATTACACTAAGGAAATCAGAGTTGCAGAGGTAAACTGACCGATTGGACAATAGGCCGCAAGAAAGGACGATGCGCCGAAGAATCGAATGAAGCGTCGATGAACCAATGACATGCCGGACAACATGATTCAAGTTTTGCAATAATTGTCTAAGATTGAAGTAGGTTTTAATTATGCAGGATTAATTACGATAGCGATCAAGGCATAAAGTAATATGAGGTCCCGGAGTCCAGAACGATATTTCATTGGGAGTTCGAGAGTTTGTTGGAAGTCCGGACGTTCATCGAAAGTTCTACTGGAATTGACCAAGAAGTCCAGAAGCTTGCCAAAGAAGCTCATCAAAACTCGTCAAGAAGATCATCGTGAAGTCTAGGAGCTTGCCGAGAGTCCGTTGGAACATTATTGAGAGATCGTTGGAAGCTCACTGGAAGTAACCTACACTAACTAGACCGTATTAGCTTATTATATAACTTAAATTTCATAGTTAGCATATAATTAGGAAGGAATTGGGCCAACTCAATTAGAGGTCAGTTGGGCCCAAGTTTGGGTTATGTTGGGCGAAGTGAAAAGGCCTAAATAGTGACCCAATAGGTGGAACCAACATGGCACAATCTCCGAGACTCTATCAGGCGGTGGTACCGCCCATACTCAATCTCTGAGACTGTCAAGTGGTGGTACCACCAGTCTGGGCAGTGGTACCACCCAGTGTCAGGCTGCAGGCGGTGGTACCGCCTAGTGCAAGCAGTGGTACCGCCCGTACCCTAAAATTTCAGGGATTTGAATTTTGGTTCCATGTTTTGAAGTCATTTGGGGTCTATAAATACCCTAGCTATTCCTGTATGGAGCAATAAGAAAAGTGAACAAAAACTATATCTTTCTAGAGTTGAAAACCCTTGTAAAGTATAGAGTCTCTCCTCCTAAAGTTTAGAGACCATTCTAAGGAAGAGTGTGAGGGAAGCTTTATAAAAAGGGGGTATAAAGGTTCTCTCTTGAGCTTGCAAAAGGAGAATAGAGTTGTAAGAAGGAGGTTGATCTTCATCTATTAAAGGAAGATCATTAGTGGATGCTGGTTGCCTCGACAGAAGTGGAATTGGTGGAATGGATGTAGGTTACGACGATCGAACCACTATAACTCATTTTGCATTTACTTCTTACAATTTACTTTTATTGCAAACTGCCATTTTTACTTGCTTTACATCCACTACACTCCTCCGTATGCTTTCAAGTTAACATCTTTTGAAACTAGTTTCATCGCAATGAGATTTTGAACCGACGTAATTTTTACTACTACACTAATTCACCCCCCCCCCCCTCTTAGTGTCGACCCATTCCTAACAGATTGTTCTCATGTTGGTCATTTGTCACACAAGTCATTTAATAGGTCATTAATGACCCTATGAGTTCTTCAAGAGGAAAATAGTTCAAGTCCTTTGTTTCTTGAATAACAGTTACTTATGGATCCCAATTTTTAGGAAGAAATCATAAAATTTTATTAAAAAGTTCAAGATTAGTAAAACTTTTACTAAGTATTTTCAAACCATTGACGACATTCATAAAACGGGTATACATGTCTCCAATGGTTTCATTTGGCTTCATTCGAAATAATTCAAACTATATATCAAAATATTGATTTTAGATTTTTTAACTCTACTTGTGCTTTCATATATAATTTCAAGAGTATGCCAAATGTCATGTGCAGTTTCGCATATCGAAATACGATTAAACTTACATTTATCTAAAACACAAAACAAAACATTCATAGCTTTAGCATTTAATGAAATCTATAGCTTACGTTTAAAAATCAATTTTAACGATATTCCATAAATTGAAATATATAGAAAGTAGGAAAACTCTAATTCATATTTTTCAATACGTCTAGTCTATCCCATTAAACATAGGAGAATGAGTGATAGAGTATCCCTCTAGATTACCGGCAAAAGTCATTTAATCTCTCTTACGTGTTAAACTAACTAAGAGAAACTTGGCTCTAATACCAATTGTTAGGACTATTTCAGTGCCGGGGGGGGGGGGGGGT